CCCTCATTCCCTGATGGATCCTGGGGGTCTGGGTGCCCCTCATTCCCTGATGGATCCTGGGGGTCTGGGTGCCCCTCATTCCCTGTGTCCCGGGGTCCCACATCCCGCTGAGATTCCGGGAGGTCAGGCCTTGGGTCAGGACGTGGGTTGGGAGATTCCCAAAGGAATCCCAGCCCCATCCCTCTCCCCTCCATCGCCCCCCACCCTCCCCAGGGCCCAGCCAGGGTCCGGGGGGGTCTCAATGGGGCAGGAATTTGGGATGCTCCGGGACTCCTCCAGGAGCTGGACATTCCAGGAGGCCCTTGGGGTGGAGGGGGCTGTCCCGTGTCCCACGGGAATCCCCCCGGGAATCCTCACATCCCGTTTTCCCCCTCCCAGGGCGCCCGAGGAGCCGATGGAGGAGGAGGAGCCGATGGCCCAGTGACAGTGGGGACTGTCCCCTGCTCCAGGACCTGCCCTTCCCTCCCGGCTCCCCCTTGGCCTCCTCATCCTCCCTGCCCCGAACCATGGAAGGGCCTCCTGGACTCCTGGAAGGGACAATTCCGGCCGTGTCCTGGGCTGGGGAGTGAGGGAGGAGCAGGAGCTCCCTCCCAGCCCCGGATTGTGCTCGTGGGGACCCCAAAGCCGGGCCCCAAAAAAACCCTTCTGGCTGAGGGGGCACATGGATGCAGATCCCGGGATCTCCCACGCCGTGGGAAGGGGTGGATCCTTCTCCTGGGATCTCCCTGGCAATAGGAAGAGGTGGATCCTTCTCCTGGGATCTCTCTGGCAATAGGAAGAGGTGGATCCTTCTCCTGGGATCCCCCTGGCCATGGGAAGGGGTGGATCCTTCTCCTGGGGAAGGGGTGGATCCTTCTCCCGGGATCTCCCTGGCCCTGGGAAGGGGTGGATCCTTCTCCCAAGATCTCCCTGGCCCTGGGAAGGGGTGGATCCTTCTCCCAAGATCTCCCTGGCCATGGGAAAGGGTGGATCCTTGTCCTAGGATCTCCCTGGCAATAGGAAGGGGTGGATCCTTCTCCTGGGATCTCCCTGGCCCTGGGAAGGGGTGGATCCTTCTCCCAGGATCCGTCCCCAGGGAAGGGCTGGCTGTTGGGATGGGCAGTTGTGGTTCTGCTCCTGGATCTCCTCTCCAGCCCGGGACGAGCAGGGATGGGCTCCCTGTGTCTCCTCCAAAGAATTCCCGGCTCTCCTTCCTCCGGAGCGTGGCAGTGCCATGGCCACGGGCACGGGGGGGGGGCTTTGGGGACCCCGAGGACCATCCCCTGCCCACAGGTCACCCCCGTGACCCCCCCAAAAACCTGTGGACCCCAATTTGCACTATGGACCTTGACGTGTGCTAATGTGAACCTGACCTTCTCCTGCCTCTTCCCACGCGGGAATTCCGGGATCCGAGCCCTTCCCGGCACCCCGGAGGGACCTGGAGAGATGGGGACCCCCGAAATTCCAGCTCAGTTGTCTCCCAGTCACCTCCTCAGCACCCCAAAGGACCTGGAGGGATGGGGACCCCCTGGAATTCCAGTTGTCTCCCAGTCACCCCGGAGGACCTGGAGGGACGGGAACCCCCAGAATTCCAGCCCAGTTGTCTCCCAGTCACCCCCCAGTACCCTGGAGGACCTGGAGAGACGGGGACCCCCCAGAATTCCAACTCAGTTGTCTCCCAGTCACCCCCCCAGCACCCAGGAAGGACCTGGAGGGACAGGGATCCCCCGGAATTCCAGCCCAGTTGTCTCCCAGTCACCCCCCCCAGCATCCCAAAGGACCCGGAAGGATGGGGACCCCCGGAATTCCAGTTGTCTCCCAGTCACCCCCCCGGCACCCAGGAGGGACCTGGAGGGATGAGGACCCCCAGAATTCCAGCCCAGTCACCCCCCAGCACCCAGGAGGACCTGGAGGGACAGTGACCCCCAGGAATTCCAGTTGTCTCCCAGTCACCCCCCCGGCACCCAGGAAGGACCTGGAGGGATGGTGACCCCCCGGAATTCCAGTTGTCTCCCAGTCACCCTGGAGGACCTGGAGGGACAGTGACCCCCCCGGAATTCCAGTTGTCTCCCAGTCACTCCGGAAGACCTGGAGGGACGGGGACCCCCGGAATTCCAGCTCAGTTGTCTCCCAGTCACTCCCCCAGAACCCAAAGGACCTGGAGGGATGGGGACCCCCAGAATTCCAGCCCAGTCACCTCCTCAGCATCCCAAAGGACCTGGAGGGATGGGGACCCCCTGGAATTCCAGTTGTCTCCCAGTCACCCCAGAGGACCTGGAGGGACGGGAACCCCCAGAATTCCAGCCCAGTTGTCTCCCAGTCACCCCCCGCCACGGTCCCAAAAAAATCCTGCTGGGCTCTGCTGGGGGGGCTCAGCTCCTCCAGGGATTCCCCAAATCCCAAAAATCCAACCCCTGGCTCTGTCCAGGAGCTCACGGGGACAGGGGGAGACCCCCCAAAACTGAGAATTCCATCCCCAACTTGCCTTGTTCCCACCTCTCCCACAGCTCCATGGGGGGCTTTCCGTGTGCCCCCGCCCGTTGTGTCCCAAGGGTTTATCCCACCGGGAAATGTCCCTGCTGGGTTTTTTTGGGAAGGGGATGGGACACAAACCTGGCTGAGCTCAGGGTGGGGGGCAGGAGGAGCTCAGGAGGAGATTTTTTTTTCGTTTTGTCCAGCGCAGGGAGGAGGAGATTTTGTATAAAAAAAACCAAAACCAAAAAACAAAGGAGAAATCTAAAAAAAAAAAAAAAAAAAAAAAAGAAAATTAAAAAAAAAAAAAACAAAAAAAAAACCAAAAAAAAAAAAAAAAAAAAAAAAAACGGACTTTGGAAAAAATAAACTATTTGTGTGTCTCAGATTAAGCTCCAGGGGAGGGGAGGTTGGTTTGTGGGGTGGGAAAAGGCCCCACGAGGGACCCCAGGGACAGAGTTTGGGGGTCAGAACATCCCCAGTTCCACTTTTCTTCCCCCAAACCCCTTTTCCGCCCCAAAATCTGAGGATTTGAAGGGTCAGAACATCCTCAGGTCTAATTTTCTTCCCCCCCAAACCCCTTTTTTCCCCCCAAAATCTGAGGATTTGAAGGGTCAGAACATCCCCAGCTCCATTTTTCTTCCCCAAACCCCCTTTTCCCCCCAAAAATCTGAGGATTTGAAGGGTCAGAACATCCCCAGTCCCATTTTTCTTCCCCCAAACCCCTTTTTCCCCCCAAAACACAAAGATTTGAAGGGTCAGAACATCC